GTTAACGGAGACCCTAATTTTCAGACCACTTGCCATGCCATTTGTATGAAAACCAGAGGGTCATTTTAATCAAACTTGCCAGCAATTCGTAGAGTGGAGACCATACGAACTAACTGCGAAAAAAAATCCAAAAATAAAAAATAAAAAACGTATAAAACAGCAAGGCAAAAGTTCATTTTCATGAAATTTCACCAGCATCTCAATTTCAGAAATCTTGAGAAATTTCATAAATCTTAACAGAGGAAATTCCAATTCTCCAAATGACACAATTGTGCCATGTAGCCCCCTATAATTCTTGTGACCAGCCAACACCCGCCCCTGTTATAGAAGATGAAGATGCCACCTCAGCACTAACATGGCAACCTGGCCAGTCAGCATGTGCACAACCACATGCCCCCCGCCACGCCCGCTCAAGCGCCAGCAACGCACACATGCCCCCCCAGCATTGCCCACACGAGCACCAGCGTCCACCCCAAGCTCCACCAGAAGCCCGCACCCATTCCGCCTGCAGCCTGCGCTTACCCCACCAAGCATGCCCGCATGCAATGCCAGATGCGTGCTCCCTCAACGCCCACCCACCGCGCCAGCGCGCCCACCAGTAGCGACCGCACGCCCCTCCCGAAGCCCGCGCCCACATGACCAGCAAAGCACACGACGCACGAACAGCGCTCGAGCGATCCATCAGCAGCGCCTCCAACATCCCCATCCCCTGCTCCATCGCGCTGAGGATTAGTCTGTTTTCGGGCGCATTCTTTCGGAAAGCACCCTCGTTTCTTCCTGCTCGTTTCCCTCTTCCGTTTTATTTTTTTCCCCAAAGGCGTAAATGTAAATGATGGTTCGTTTAGCGAATCAGTTTCTCAGTTTTCCTGCTTGTTTCCCTGTTCCAGATTTTTGGATCATTTTGACACCGTACCCTGGTTACTAATCAGAGGTGGCTTTTCTTCGTCTCCGTCTCCGTCTCCTTCTCCTTCTCCTTCTCTCTCTCTCTCTCTCTCTCTCTCTCTCTCTCTCTCTCTCTCTCTCTCTCTCTCTCTCATGTGTGTGTGGCACACAGTCATGTGCACCTGCTTTTTCTGTCCATTCACACACATCTGTGTTGCTTCTGAAGTTCTGAACCCATTTCATTTCGTTTTGGGATGTTTCAGGTTCACGGAGGCAACCTCACCGATGAAGAACGTGGCCATACTGGTCGACCTGAGGCGGGGCATGGACGAACCAATCGGTCCATTGATGGCTGGCCTAACCAGGCTTAAGGTGGTGCAGAGGACACTTAAAAAGCTCATCAAGACTTTCGGGGAAGGCGACGGAGTGTCTCTAACCACATATCCACAAAGCAACTTCAGCACTTCCCCAGTAAGAACCCACAGTGTCGTACACTACACCGGCACTAGTGCATCAACTTCTTGTCCGGTGTTTTCATCTAAGATTTCCAGATCAATCTTGTAATTCAAAAAGGGTGTGTGTTTGTGGAGAAGGGAAGGTGGGGGGGGGGGGGGGG